CATACACACATACATACATACATACAATCATACATACAGACATACATACAGACTACATACAGACCATACATACATACTTACATACATACATACATACACACACACACACACCACACACACACATACAGACATACATACATACCATCATATACATACATACATAAGACATACATACATAATACATACATACATACATACATACATACATACATACATACATACATACATACATACATACATACATACATACATACATACATACATACATACATACATACATACATACATACATACATACATACATACATACATACATACATACATACATACCTACATAACATACCTACATACATACATACAGTACCTACATACATACTAATACATTACATACATACATACATACATACATGCATACATGCATGCATGCATGCATGCATGCATGCATACATACATACATACCTACATTCATACATACATACATACATACATACACTGCACAAACACACGCACACGCACGCATGCATGCACGCACATACACACACATACACACACATACACCAACTAACTTAGTTGACTACTACTCACTGAGCAGTTGGCTTTCTACTGTTGATACCAACTCAAGGTGGTCTGCTGCCAAATCACCTGCAGTTGGGATCGAACCCAGCCCCACGCAATCAAGAAACTCCTAAGCCACAGACGCTGACATACCGCACTCTATACCATTTTTAAAATTAGAGCAAAGCGGTCTGATAACAAACAACACGCAGCTGGTATCACAACTGGTACTTGGGAATTGGAAATGGCGTCAACCTATAACTTCTGATGGCGATAGCTAGTCATCTCATAAAATCATCACCGACTCATACTGAGTTTAATTTCTTGATCCCATTATGTTATGCAGCCTTAGTATCCAAATATTTTCCTAGTTGTCTTTTTTTTTGTCTTACCTCATTGCGTTAACCAGTTGCTCCTGAGCTCTCTAGCTTATTTCTCGTCATACCATTTCTAAAACGTAGGTAACTGTCCACGTCCAAATTTCGATAATCTATGTTATGTTTTTACAATCTACGTTACCGCACATCGAGCAGACACTCCAATGTACCTCCACTGATTGGTCCATGAGGAGTTAGTTGTAATTGACCCTTCGGGTGAGGAATCTAGCCCTTGTCTACCGCGTGACAGACGGATATACTTGCAACTATGCTAGCAAGGACTATAATCAGTGTTTGATGTTCATCTGTTTATTATTATTATTATTATTGAATATTTTATGGCTAATACACTTTAAGCACGGAAAGGGGTCCTTTATTATCATTATTTTTATTTGTAAATTATTTTCTGGCTAGTACCATGGCCATTGTGTATTCTGAACAGCAAATTCAGAAAATAGTAGATGTGCACGCAAAACCTAAGTTCTGGTGTAAGACGAAAGTCCTAAAGTGGACGAACAACCCTGAACTTTCTAACGTCTTACAGTCGGTGAACGCTAAGCAGATGAAAAATAAGAAAATAGCGAGCGGTCGGTGTGTCGCTGATATTGAACTAGCGGCCGCCTAATGCACTTAAGCGTCGGGTGAAGGCTGTTTGTTTTTGTTGAATCTTGATGATCATCTCAGCTTAAGTTGACTACTGTTGAGATTCTTGTAGATGCCTCATGCATTTAAATGCGCAAGCTGTTGGTTTGCTGGAACTACGCTCGTGTTCACGTAAATCATTTGGACATTGATAGGCAAGTCTGTGGCTTTTTGCTGGCACATGAACTGAATACTTAGTGCGAGTGGGCAAAAAGGGCGGGGGTGGGGGGGGGGGAGAGGCAGTGTGTTAGCCTTGAAATCAAAACCCCATAAGGAAATATTCCAATTTGTTTTTGGAACCACCCCCATATTTACACACCCTTCATTTATTTCTCCTTCTGTCTACACTCCCCTTGTCAACTGCCAAAAACTGGACTGAAATATGGAACTCGTCCAGCTACTGGTCGGGCCACTATTTCAAAGCTGCTTTATACCGAATGGGTATTTTATAAGTGATAAATAACATTTCAAAAAAAAAAAAAAAAAGAATATAATATTTCAGCGCAGATATTTACCTCTGGTGAGAGGGCTCCTTTGATCATAACCTTTCTCAATACATATTGCATTATGCGGAAAATTCAACAACGTCCACAAACATGATACGGCCGGTTGGAGACGAAGTGATAAGCTTTTATTTATTTTAAGCAACAACGCACAAGGTTAGGCCGCTAGCTCTGCCCATTGGTGCCTTGCTTTCTCAGATAAATCCCTGGAAACTAAAATTATCTGAAGGATAGGTTAGTTGTGTATCCTTTACAGGACGTTGCAGAACCAACTCCAGCAGCACCTGACTGTTGTGTGGTTTTTCTAGACAAATTCACATCCAGTAGTTATCTGAAGGATAAAAATGCATAAAAAATAAATGCTGGAATAAATTAATGTTTACTGAAGTAATTGTGCTGTTACATAAACAGACTTTAGGAATGTTACGATAAATTATTTTTGCAGTAGCAATATTGTCTAATCTCACGGTTCTTGTCTAGTATACAGGCAGGATCGTTGCCGTATTTATTGATCCGACTAATGGATTTAGGATTAACAGACATACTCTCTGTGGCAATCAAATGTTCTAAGGTAATTTCAAACTCTCCGTGTCCAGGCTCGGTGAAAAACGTCAGCTGGTAAATGACCTTGTCTCTGGCTGTCTCGGCTGACATAATGGGCTCTAACCCTCGGTCACCTGCTGTTTCCTTGAACTTGAGCACATCGTCGCTTGTGAAGAGCTTCGATAACATTGTGACATTGCCGACACTCAGCAAGGCACAGTCCGATCTGTATTCTTGCGTAAAGTTGTTCAACGTATCCAAGGCTGTCTGAAGAGCTCGTTTAGCGTCAGGATCTGTCTGCGGCACGTTTTGCCAAGATAGACAAGCACACCAATGAGCAGCCACATCCGCATCGGCGCAGGTACGTGATTTAGGGATTTCTTTAAACAAACTTATGCCTCTGTTCTTTATGTCGCCCATTCCAGCACCATCGAACTTCAGAACATCTTTGAAAGTTTCATGCAAATCGAAAGCTGTAGTCAGACGGTTGACGTTGGTTCTCATATTTTTTATTATTTCCGGGTACTTGGTCTCAAACCAGGGTGGAAAGCGCAAGCTAACGTAGGGTAGTCTTTCTTCCAGCTTGCCGCTCAAAGTGCGTCTAACGTCGGCAAAACGGGCACCATGATCTGCCATTATAAGAAGCAAGGTGTTATTCAGAAATCCGCCCATTTCCAGATATTGAATAAAAGTCTTCAAATCCTCGTCAGCCTGAAGATGAATTTAAAAAACAATTTATGCAATTAAAGAAACAAAACTTATACAAAATACTATCTTCATAATTGGGTAATATTAGTAATAAAAATCTTCTCAGCAAAATATAAATCCCCGAGACAAAATATCACTTGCGAAGAAATACGAGGGTACGTCAATAAGTAAGTCACGAATGGTTGTTTAGAAAAAAAAAAAAAAAAACAGAAAAAAAGGCAGACAACGATGAAGATAACAACGCGAAAACTGTTTATTTTTTTATACACACACTGGCCCTTTAATGTTCAACATAATGTCCACCAATACTTATACACTTGTCCCATCGTTTTATCAGTCCTCCCAAACCTGCAGCATAGTACTGCGTGCTCTGGTTTTTTTAAACAACATTTTCACTTCACATTCAAAGTCTGCGTCATTCATGAAATGTCTCCCCCTCCAACTTTTAAGGTGGGTTTTCAGCAGACCAAAAGGCTGTGAGCATCCTGCACAGCTGCTACGGTCAACCTCTAATCTCCTCTACCCTCTGCACGGATGTATCTGCTGCAATCTCAACAGGACGACCAGATCGGACTTCATGAACCATCGTAGAGCTTCCTTGAGAAAAATTCTTTACCCAGCAATGCACGGCTTTACGAAATAAACTTTTGTCAGCATCAACAAAAAGCATTTTCTTATGCATGTCTTTTGCAGGCTGCAACCACCACATTTGTACAGACAAATCAGCACTTGACAAGTGTTATAGTCAACATCTTCTCCGTTTTGTTTTCCACTTCATATTTTACTGTTTGGCATTCTGAGGCGGATATAAGTTTCTGTTTCTTACTCTTCAGGCCGCCTCAACCATAATGCAGGATGCATGCACTGAGTTGAGAAAGGAGTGCTTTGCAAAACACGTCATGCAGTTGTAGAGTGTGTCTCATGTTATCTTTCATACTCGTTCTTATCTACTCAGTATTGTACATCTCTGTCCTCTTTTGATGTGTGCATTGTGTGGTGTGGTGTTGCAAGGCATTCTCTCTAAGTGGGAAAACCACGTCACTTGCTGTTTATTTTAAATGTCAGTTCTTCTTTTACTTCGTCCGAGTAACGTAAATTGCGGTTTGACTGTTTACAGCCTAGATGCGACATTTGCGACTTTCGGCCGATCCATCCGACTTCATCGAGCAGTTGTTGACCGAGTTAACTTTCGGACATTTGTGTTGGACAGGGACAAGTTGTAGTCTTGTTTGTGTTGTGTTCTCTTTGTCCCCGTATCTGCAGGTGTTGCCATTGGAGGGTAACCGTCTGTAGACAAGCCGACCTCTGGAAATCAGTAGGGAGCTGTCCACAACTCTGGGACTTCAATAGCCAGACAAATAGTTAAATTTCTTTTCTGGGGTACCCTTAACATTGTTTCGTCTGTAAACCTAGCAAGACAGTACGGAAGGCATGGTTCTTCCTTTTAGGTCCCACACTCTTGCGAGTAAGGTCAATGGTAAGCGGCATGTAAACCTTTCTGCTAATGAGTAGGATTGTTTTTATCAGTTGGACTTTTGAGACTTTGTTTCCCTGACATAGGACATGTATAAACCGGGTGTTTACACCAGACCAGCTGACTGACAGTGGCAGATTGATGTGGTGTACCCCAAAGCTGAGGAACAGGAAGGAATGTTCGGAGACAGGACTGTTCTGCCAGTCATCGCCGGCAAGAGATATTGCTCATTTAGGCTTTGAGCAAATCTCTTGTTATTATGCTGAACCTCAGCAGTACAGTAGATCTTCTCGACAGACGTTTTAACCCAGGATTGTCATTTAGTAGTATTTTCGGCTAGCGAACTTCACCCTTGTTCCACACGAGCTTTGAAATACGTTTTCGTTCATGCACTGGGCTGGGCTGATATGAGCTAGACAAGACATACATCTCTAGAGACCACCAACTTCGAGATTCCATAGCAACTCGGTTCACGTCACAAAGGTGAGCCACTATCCGTGGGGCACGACTAGGACGTGCGCCTGGAGTCTTGCGCCAGAATTCGTAAAACCACATAACAGCCGATGTGAGTAACTCATAATATGCATTTCAACGGCCTTAACTTTTTCTCATGCTTGGTCGATAACACCGGGCTACTTTTATGTAATTGTATAGTGGTTCTGCAGGCGACTTCTTCTATGACTATATAAATAAATTATTCTTTTATAAAGACTTCTGCAGACTTTCTGAGACATTTCATGTCCATGGCAATTGATTTTCCTTTCTAGTCTGTTGTGACAGACTTTGTCTGGAGCTGATAGCATATAATGGGCATGAATGTTTTATAGGAAATGTTTCCTTGTGCTTCCTTAGATTGTATTATACTGTAAAAGGGAGTGGGTGGGTGTGTGGAAGATGCTATCTGTCCCAGTTCTTGGTTTTCTTAACTATATCAAATATGCATACATATCTGTGTCTAATTTCCCAGTGTGCTATCATACCGGCAATATTTTATTTCCCAAAGGAATCGTCAGCTAGACATTTTAGAATTGACCGACCTGCTAGATCTAGTTTAATTTTAAAAATCCGTTTGGATTTTAACTCCAAAACTTTCGTAAGGTGGCCACAATGGCTTCTGACAACTTGTATAAGTAAATAAAACGACATTACTTTACTCGCACCTGTAAAACGTCCGCTAAGGATACTTGTTTCATACTTTTCTACTACTTAACCCTGGATGCATGATGTGGTCAACATCACGCTAGCCGCTGTAGAGCCTGTGTCATTTCTATTTTAAAAAAAAAAACTTACTTTATGTGGTTGGAACCCAGTAACTTCGGGTCGGCAGATGTGCATCTAGCCGCTGCTCTATAGAGGCTCATGAAACCAGCATTACCACAGATTAAAAAGAGGGTTTAGCAAAAATGTGTCCTTAAGTGGGATGCATTTTTTGTTATTTGAAGCATCACCCTGGCTTCTGCCCAAATACACGAATATAGCCGGGCCATAAATATGGTCTTACAGCTGAAAGGGGTTTCTGGGACACCTCCACGGGTGATCCTTATCCGCATTTTAAAACTTTGTGTCACCGGGTGTTTATCGCTTGTATGATGTCCCGGTTGGGTACAGCTACCTACCTAACTATCTACCTACCTACCTACCTACCTAACTACCTACCCAGCGGCCCTGAACTGACTCTTGCCGTTGCGTAGCGTGCATTTGATGGTATTTTCCCTAAGCATTCGCATGGAGCCATACGACTGAGTACAAACATCAACTGTTTGTATTAAATAACAGAAGAACTATAATTCAAAACAGTGTTTGCCAGTTAGATAAGAACTTCACGTAATCCAGTGGGTATTCTGATCGCCAGCTGAGATCCAGTGATCTAGAATACAATCTGAAGTTAAGGCAAACTGTGCTCAACAGACTCTACTGAAATCAAGTGGAGAGTGAAAAACAATTGAATGCACAATGTAGTGAAATGATTATTTATTGCTGGTGTCATGAGAAAAAAAGAGATTGCAATTGTTAGGCATATAGGCAGAATGTTGATGGGGTGTAGACGACAAGGCAGATCAAGAAACCCTAAAGATATGAGATATTTAGAGGCAGACCTATAAACTTAATCGAAATCTAATGCCAATCCTTGAAGCAATGCAAGTTAATAGTTCAGAATGCTGAAGATCGGAAAAGCAGACGAAGAGAAGGAGAAGACAGAGAAAGAGGAGGAGGAGAAAAAGAAGAAGAAGCAGAAAAAGTAGTAGTAGTAGTAGTAGTAGTAGTAGTAGTAGTAGTAGTAGTAGTAGTAGTAGTAGTAGAAGAAGAAGAAGAAGAAGAAGAAGAAGAAGAAGAAGAAGAAGAAGAAGAAGAAGAAGAAGAAGAAGAAGAAGAAGAAGAAGAAGAAGAAGAAGAAGAAGAAGAAGAAGAAGAAGAAGAAGAAGAAAGAAGAAGAAGAAGAAGAAGAAGAAAGAAGAAGAAGAAGAAGAAGAAGAAAAGAAGAAGAAGAAGAAGAAGAAGAAGAAGAAGAAGTTGAAGAAGAAGAAAAAGAAGAAGAAGAAGAAGAAGAAGAAGAAGAAGAAGAAGAAGAAGAAGAAGAAGAAGAAGAAGAAGAAGAAGAAGAAGAAGAAGAAGAAGAAGAAGAAGAAGAAGAAGAAGAAGAAGAAGAAGAAGAAGAAGAAGAAGAAGAAGAAGAAGAAGAAGAAGAAGAAGAAGAAGAAGAAGAAGAAGAGAAGAAGAGAGGAAGAAGAAGAAGAAGAAGAAGAAGAAGAAGAAGAAGAAGAAGAAGAAGAAGAAGAAGAAGAAGAAGAAGAAGAAGAAGAAGAAGAAGAAGAAGAAGAAGAAGAAGAAGAAGAAGAAGAAGAAGAAGAAAAAGAAGAAGAAAAAAGAAGAAGAAGAAGAAGATAAGATGCTTTTAAAAACAACTTTATGACTCTAAATGTTCGTGCACTGGAACCCACAGTTTCAAACAAGTATAATATGATCAAAAAGATGATGATTAGAGAACGTGAGGAGGAGGAGGCGGAGGAAAAGATAAAGAAAATGGTAATGAGAATGATAATAATAATGATAAAATGGAGGAGGAGGGAAAGGAAACTTACCGTAGTTATTTTATTGTTGTCATCATGACTCAGAGGTGTGTAGAAATGGAACAGGAACTTCGGGTCGTCTTTATACATGTTGAATATGTCTCGTATCCAGTTAAACCAAAGCATGTGCATGGGTTCCGATGCATGGCAGTCCGGCGAATACTTGGGGTACAGTGGGTCGACAGCTAGATAGAAGGGTCTCATGAAATAGTCCACTGGAGAGTGCTCAAAGCCCAGGAGTCGATAGTTAAAAGGCGCGATTTGGATTTGTGCATCCGCCCATGATGTGACGTAACCATGCTGAGAAAAGTTTTTCCACAGCCAAGGAAAACCATCTACAGTTGCAGCTCCCTTTTCGTTTCTCCTGGCTTCAGGGAGCTCCTGCTCGTGTTTTCCTGTGAGAATTGGTAGCAGGGCGGCTGGCGTTCCATCGCCCATGATATTATAGCCTTGGAATTCTATAGCTTTGAGTTCGTTGACGAGATAATCTCTGGTTAAAGGCATACGTCGTAACCAAGACATCCTGGACATGGAATCAAAACCCAGAAACGCAATAGACAGACCTAATCCATTGGCTGGCGGTTTGACAATTTTTAGACGTTCTTTGATAGTCAAATTAAGATGAATGCCAGCATGTATGTTTTCATATGTGTTATTATTTGTGTCCACGCAAATTATTTTAAAAAAGTCGGATGTCAAATTCGCACCATCTTTAATGTCTTTCATAGGGTCGGAAAAAGAGATCTGATAATCTCCGGGTCCACGTATTAAAGGGTAATAATCACAATGGAAATCCTTGTGAATCTTTTTGGCCTCTTCAGAAAACCGAAGGGTACCATTGTCTACGAACACCCAGTTTTTTTCTCCCTTGCACACAACTTTTGGTAGTTTCTTATAGAAAGCCATCATGACATGATCATCGACATCCAGTTCTGGATGTATGCAGGCTGGTTTCTCCTTCCGCACTCTATCGATGACATTATCGTTGGAAATCTCCACTAAAAAACTGCTGCTTCTGTACACATTAAAAACGTTCTTTTTAATTGTCATCACATAAGAATTAATGTGTGAAAAAAAAATTATCACCACTGCTCCCACAATGAGCCCTGCAAGCGATCGGCGGCTCAAGTACATTCTCGTTTTTAGAAAACTAATATATGCCATTTATTGTGAATTAACTTACTTAGTTTTACACTGCAAAGTCGCGTCCTGCTTCTAGCGGTGAAAACTATCGCTGTAATACAAATATTTCACAACTATTATGCCTGATCATAAGACTATATAGTTTCCTAGAGCAGACTCACGACAGCTCACGAGAAAAGGAACAACAGCTATACAAGCAATAAAAGTATCATTTTATAGCCCCACAAACGATTCGATCGCCACAACGCCCACTTCAATACTAATCTTTAGTGCTCGGAACAAGTGACATCAGTTTAATCCAAGCAATGTGTATTCCCGTAGTGTCGATGCTTTCACACCTTACGCTAAAACACGAGCGTCAAGTAAAGCACGTTATATAGGGTAGTATGTGAAGAGTGGAAAGTTCAATGCAACATTAAAAGGCGACTGTCTGAGTCAGAAAATGGTTCACGCATGATTTCATGTGATGCCGTATTCCTCAAGAAAGTAAGTTTGTGTTAGTATTGAAAATATACAACTGTCTGACAGACATTTCATGGTCCTAGAAACATGTAATGATGTTTGTTCCACATGAGATTACTCGCTGCCATATGTAAATGTGTGCGTGAAAGTCTTTTTGGACAAACAACCTTCACCTGAAAAAAATGCATACAAAATAAATTTAACAAAGCAAATAAGCAAAGCATAAATTTTGATGAATATCTAAAGAATAATCACAATAAATCTCTTAACCGGCTTTTCTATATTTCAATAGTTCTACAATCCAGGCGTATGAGATTTCTCAGTAACTGCTATAAAATCTTGCTCCTGTGATAATATCAGCCGCTACTTCTTAGAAAATCGTTTCATTTACAGTTCTGGCATGTTCACTGCTGAGGGATAAATACACCACACCGCTATTTTTAATGAAACGAATCTAATTAACTAATTAACCGATTTAATTATTCAGTCAAAAGAACATGAGAGAAGACTAACCACCTGTGAAATGAGATGTTTGAGAATGGCTGCGAATAAAACCAGAAGAGATCGATTGAGAAACGATGTGATTACAAGAACTATTGGAACCATACCCATCGTTAAATTTATTGAGAAGCAAAGAATGAAATGGTTTGGTCACCTAATGAGAATGGAACCAACGATGCCAGCATCAAGAGCATACAACATGAAAATCAAAACAACAAGAGGCAGGAGAAGACCAAGAAGAAGATGGATTGAAGGAGTCACGGACAACTTGAGACTTCATAACATCACGGCATATGAAGCGACTGAGCGCGCCCTGGCTTGGTTGCCGATCATCTGATAGACTGCGACGCCTAGCGGCACAAGCAGATTTTGACAAAAGAAGAAGAATTATTCAGTTTGTTTATATTTCTCCCACTCTTTTTTTTTTTTTTTCGAACACTTTTCACTTGTCTCGTTTGTGAGTATAACCCTTCATGTTTATATCCTCCCCCTTCTCTCTCTCTCTCTTTCTCTCTCTCTCTCCCTCTCTCTCTCGCTCCCTCTTCCCCCCCCTCTCTCTCTCTCTCTCTCTCTCTCTCTCTCTCTCTCTCTCTCTTTTTTCTCTCTCTTTCCCCCTTCCCATTATTACTTGGTTTAATGTTGGCCCTGGTTATTTAGAAGCTTTTAAGTCTTGTTTGCTCAGGTGTCTAGTCACAGTTTGTGTTGTATTTACTATTTCGATGATAAGAACTTAGTCAAAACCTTTTGTTGTATTTGTGCAAGTCTTTTGCAGTCCCTACGTTGAGCTTTCTAGTTGCCCTTTACATCGTTTTTAGTACTTCAAATACATACACGCCTTTTATATAAAACGTTTAGGAGGGCTGTTTTTTTAAAAACCGTAACACACAATAAAACCACACAGAGTCACTTAACTGACCCAACGGGCACGACGTTCACATCACACATCACCATCAGTCATTAACTATCCAGTTGCGCCATTATGTGTCACACAATCAATCATTAACTATCCAGTTGCGCCATTATGTGTCACATAGGGCGCTCAGTCTTTTCAATCATTTCGTTCTATCATGGGCAATCAGTTCAATATCATGAATGGAACCCAGTCCAGACGCTTTGGCCTCTCTTATCAAGGTTCATCAAAGGGTTCCTTGTGGGCATCCACTCCTCTTTAATCACTCCCCCTCCTCCCCCCCCCCCCCGGTTGATGCCTGACTGGTTATTCTCTGCGGATTTCTTCTTAGGATGTACAAGATAGCACCATCTTCTCTGTCTTACAGCAGTTCCAGTGACATCTTTAAATGAATAGTAAGAAGAGAGTCGTAAAAATAGCTAATCACAAGTGTTTTCTTCAAAGTCGGGATGGATCTGCATGAGAGTGAGGGACCAATAGCCTGTATACAAACAAGCGAGATCTGTAAAATGGATATGCATGTAAAATTCAAGTTTTTGAACAAGACCAAAGTCATGAAGTTATCCATCAATCAAAACGTGTTGCTGAACAAGAAGAAGACGAAGAAGAAAAAGAAGAAGAAGAAGAAGAAGAAGAAGAAGAAGAAGAAGAAGAAGAAGAAGAAGAAAAAAGAAGAAGAAGAAGAATGAAGAAGAAGAAGAAGAAGAAGAAGAAGAAGAAGAAGAAGAAGAAGAAGAAGAAAAAGAAGAAGAAGAAGAAGAAGAAGAAGAAGAAGAAGAAGAAGAAGAAGAAGAAGAAGAAGAAGAAGAAGAAGAAGAAGAAGAAGAAGAAGAACAACAACAACAACAACAACAACAACAACACCATCAGAACAAGAGGAAGAAGCTAAGCTGCATCCAAATAGTTACTCACAAAGACTTTGGGTGTAAAATCTTCAGGCTGCAATCCCAGATGAAGAATTACACAAAAAAGTGTCAATTGGTCCTATACGAAAACATGGGAATCATATTTTTTGGCGATGGTAAGTATGACCAATAAGAGTGGTTAGATTTAAATATTGTCTTTTCCAGTAAGTGCAGGATTTTCTGGACCATTGTTGTTGTTTTTTTTAATCACTAACTGACATGTTTCTCCCAGTCCTTAACATATCTGTAGTCACGTTCTCAGAATACTTTTCCTGATATACCAGCTTAGTTCCCTGATATAATGTTGTAATAAACTTATCTCTTTAAATGCATCAGTCATACACCAAGACTTTCTCTCATATCTGCTACCCATCTATAATTTGTGATAAACAATGACCTTCTGGATACATGCTATCATCAGGTCTGCAATTTCACACATGTGAACTTTTATGAAATGACTAGCTGTACCCGGCCAGGCGTTGCTGTGGCATAGTTTGGCTGAATGGAAATGAAAGAAAATAGAAATCGCACGTGTCTAATACAATCATTGTCTGCTCAGATATAGAGATAGTCTTTGATCCCCACCCCACCACCGCCCCCCCCCCACCCTCAACTAAATCCACCTACTACCCTCCCCCTTATCAAATTTATGTCATTACCCCCCGCCCTCCCCTCCCCTCTTCCACCGACTACTGCTTTCTCCCTCTTCGAAATATTTGAAAATCATTACCTGGCGATATTTTTTGTTGCTGTAACTGACATTGACATTCCTGTCCATCTGGACTAAAATGGGGAGCAGGAATTGAAATAGGTAGTAAATGGGGCTAGTTTAATATTTACCACATCATCCTTCAAGTACCAGTACAACTACTAAAATAATGTCACTGCTATCTGTGTTACCATCGGAGTAGACAGAGAGTCGTGAGCCAGAAGATTTGGTTCCGCATGGCTAGTGCTGTCGCCACAGACTGGTCAGGTTAGGATGTATAATTTCACTTGCCGACAGAAGAACGCCATAACCTTACCGGCGGTCTTCACATGAGAGTACTATGGTGTAACAGCCCAACCACAACTATTACTACTGCTGCTACTTTAAGTGGGTAAAGCAGTTACTGTGACTTAAAGCTCTCTCAGTAAAATAGTTTGCCCCCCCCCCCCCCAAAAAATTCACCGACAACTCTTTCCCTCATTGAAGTAGTTGGGAGAAAAAAAAACTTGAAAAGCAAATGAACACAGCAAAAAAAAAAAAAAAAACCATAATTAGGAAATGAACGCCATGGTAAACAGCACAGCTTAAAATTCCAACGCAGATGAAATAACTAAATCTAAATGAAAATAAATGAAAATCTATAAAAATTTCAGCGTAACCATGCAATCGGAAAGTTTAATAATGCAATCATAAGTATGCGAAATGGTCAAATTTAATTATCAAATGGTTTACCCATTTACTTGTATTTTTTTTTTAAGGCAACATGGCTAGTGCTGTCACCACGACAGAGCAGATGAGGATATTATTTTAGTCCGGGGTAAAAAAAAAAATAAACTACTGCGGATTCGAACCCAGTGTTCTAACCTTTCGACCAAGCAGCCACTTAACCGGATAAAGGAAAAGAGAACTTAACAATTAGAGATGTGTGTCCCTACTTCTGTGTCCTGATTAAAACACAATTCAAAACCGCAGGCAATTGTTTTCTTGTAGACAGATACTCCAGATATATCAATGAAACGGCACAACAATAGAAATCGCACGTGTCTAACACGGTTAATGAAATTAATGTCGCAGTCAATGTCTGCGCCGAAGTCGAGATAGTCCTTGATCCCCCCCCCCCCCCCCCTCACCTTTTCCCCATCGAAGGTTGTTTTAAAAAAAAAACAGAAAATAGAAATCGTGTTTAATATGGTTATTGTGGCAAATATAGAGATAGTCTTGTTTGCTGTACCTAGACCTACTCTATGCATTAGAGAAGGCGTTGGCTGCACGTAACTCGCCGGCGAATGGCGGAAGCCTTGCGTTCTGACTACGGCGGCGCATGCGCAATTACTAACGTGGCTATAATTAGAAATCACTAAAGTTATAAATATTAGTTGCGTATATTATTGCATAAATTGTGGTCACCTATCTCTAACAGTGACAGGTTGAATTTCAAACCACGACAGTTCAAAATCCGGTATCACAACAAACATATCCTGAAAATTTCAGCTAAATCGGTTCA